TTCAATCATGTGTTGATCTGTCATATTTATTTTCCATTAGAAGCCCTTACATTTTCCACAAATAGCTTTCAACTGTTTCTTACTAAATGTTTCTGAAAGTGCCAAGAACCATGTCAACTGCAAATTTCACCATTGCTGTTTGACACCATACGTTCAATGTTAATGGAGCTTCTTTGTAGATAAAAAGAAAAGGAGGTTTAAGCTGAACCACCCGAATGGTTTAACCAAACTGTAATGGTCATAGAATGCCAATCAGAGAAGGCAAGACCAAAGAGTCAGTCCCAGAATTTAAAATGTCTATTTCTGTGATATCTTCAGCTGTTTCAGTGTGTGGGGGGAGGAGGGACAGTTAAGAGCTTGTGTCCATTTAATTACATCACAACACCTTCCATGTTATCATTCACAATTTTTACACATCTTTAAGACACTAACAGAGTGTCTGTTAAGCCCTGATGCCGTGGAGGGAGCTTGTACTGTTACTTAATGGGAAGTGGGTAAAATACCTATACTGGGTGAAGATATTAAGAGAATGTAACACCATTTGGACAAGCCCCAATGTCATTAGTTAATCCTTCTATCTTTCTGCTGGAGCCTACTCAGAGATGAAGCCTGTCTTTATTGGGGCTGCCTGGTGAACCAGAAGTTAAAACCCATGTGGGTCTGGAGGGTCAGTGCCCCAGAGAAGAGACACACACAGGAACTCAGGCTCATGGCAGCCTCATGGAGATGTGGTGACTTACCCAGCTCTCAGGCAGGGAGTTAGCTGAATCTAATTAGAGGAAGAAAGGAATAGAAATTTACCTTGAGCGAAGATTCAGCATGGGAACTCTGAACGTGGAGGGAATGTGGCATCCCAGTGAGTGTTGTGGCTGTTATCACCAGAGAAGGGAAAATCATGTGAGCATTAGCAGGGACAACCCTGTCAAAGTGGTTCCTGTCAATATTGGGCAGATGGGGAACAGGGTCAAGTGACTCTTTTAGAATTGGCAATGTCCCTCATAGAATTGGTAGTTGTGAATTGAAACAAATATTGTTAGAAGCATTTTAAGAAACAGGACTCTTGGCTGGGTAGCAGCTATGAAAAGGAGCTATGGTAAGGATGATGTGCAGGGGTTAGACTGTTGAGCTTGAAGGCTAAGTACTGACTTACCAGGCACTGGGCATGATCCTGAGAGACTACGGTGTTTGACTTGAGCAAGAACTGGAACCAACACCTATGTAACCACTTTGAATGTGTATACATGCACCTGGGAGAAGTATACTGATAAGTATTTCATCAATAACCATCTGCGTCATGGTATGGACAGGGTGCAGGGGTGGAGGAACCCTGTGAAGTCATCACCTGGTTCAGAGTGGGGCAGAAGATCACACCTCCCAACGCTTACTTTCTCTTTCCATTATTTTTTTCTTAACATGAAAGGCATGGCAGAAGAATACAAAGAAGAACAAGTGGAGAACTGGGTGGAGCAGGTTCAACCTCAATTTTTAAAAGGATAACTTCAGACTATCACAAAGACCATGCATATTTTGAGAGATGTGAGTAATATTCCTGCTTCACATGGTTACAATTTTCCTATTGTAAGGATAATCTTAAGTGGAAATCTGAATTGTCAGTTATAATATGAGGTTTTACCAGTATAAATATGAAATAAAAGATGACATGTAACATCTGGTTAGGCATAACAAACCAGGAATCTGCTGCTTTGCAAGGTAGTGACTCCTGTTTTTCTGGCAGCAGTGTAGAAATTCACCTTTGCCCTAATTGACAAATGATTCACAGTAGCCATGCTTTCAATTACACTTCATAAGAGCTGGCAAATAATTATGATTATGGCATTGTATGATGTCTTGGCAATACTCTTTTTTTCTTTGTAATTTATTTAGAAATGCGCTGACCTTCCCTTAATAATGAGAAAAATGAAGAACAATTTGTTTTGGATCAAAACACTATAAACAGGTTAAACTTCTCTCTAGTTCACTGAGGCAGTTTAAATTATACTAATTCTACTTCTAATACCTAAACATCTGACAATTGAATAAGAGATAAGAAAAATCCAAGTCCTAAGACCTGTTACCTATTTTATTGCTGGAGAAAATGGTCCCTACATAAATACTCTTAAGCATATAGACTTTTACCCTGATTCTCTACTACCCTTCTTGCTATGTGTTCATTTACAATTCTGCAAAATAGGTTCAGAATGGTACTAAACTAGGGCATGGACAGACATTCTTTAGAAGGACTTCAAACCTTGCTTTGATACAAACTGCTTCAAATTTGGAGCACTGCAGCATTAGCCTGATGTCCCATCTGAAGTGCTTCAAAATGGCCAAGTTCATGTTGTAAAGGCTTCTGCAGTTAGGAGCCTGGAGAGCAAAGATCCCGGCCTGCCTGTCAGGCTCTGCAGAGGCTCCCAAACACTGCTGAGGACAGAGGAAAGAGTCCATTGGCCAATTGTTCTCCCTTCCCAGGTTGTCTTTGGTGCTCTGCACCATTGTGGTCTGGTCAGTTTCACCTCAGGAGACCTCATCAGTTACAGGACTGGCACTGTCAGCCCATGGAGCCTGGAATGGTTGGTACTTACCATCTTCTCTGCAGTCCCTGGGTGAACAGCACTGGGACCATGCTATTCCTTCTATCCAATGCAAGGCAGAGAGATGTGGCTGATCTGAGCATGCTTTGTGTCTTCTTCCAGCATTTGATAGTTGTTGGGCAATGGCCTGATAGCATCCTCCTCTCAGTTAGATCCCTCCAAGTCTTCCATGCCCTCAGAGTTGACCCCCGAGATTGCAACAAAGCAGGATTTTGTCAAGTCACCCCCCCCCCCCCCCC